CAAACCTTGCCCAATACCCAAGAATTGACTACCGTAATGATATGTGTATTATAGTTCCGTGCTTTGGGAGGTGGAGGAGCGACTTCAACGTTTCGCGCAACTCTGCGCTTCTTCAGGAATACAAGGGAGATATCTGTATAGTATAGGAAAAAATTAAATGTAATTTCTATCATAGTTATTTTTCTAAAGGGGGATAAATTGGGTCGAGTCTTACCTACTGGTTTAGCACAAGCAGGCATATGCGTGTGTTCCCAAACACAGACGCCCGAACGGTAAATTTCATCTGGTCCCTCCCAAAGGGCCAAAGACTTCCACCAGAAGCCAAGTAGTAAAGGAGACCACACCTACTCCCCATGACTCGACAGGTCTAGGAGATTGTACCTGGTCTAGCGCCCAGGATGCCACTCTCGTACGTGGCAGGGCGACATATGGGGGTTTCATATAGATTTAGTGGGCTGTGACAACGGTTGATGACAGGACTAGGCTTTCCTTTACAGTGTGACGATGTTACTTGCTCTGTTTGTATGTATGTATGTTTTGTTCTTGGAAAAATTTCTTAAAATAAAAATAGAATTTGAAAAAAAAAAGTCACACGCACTCCAAGGTCAAATGTGCTGAACATCTTTTTTTTTTAAGACGCTAGGCAAACATAGTGACATCACTGTGTGATGAAGGCACCATGTTCGGTTCCGAAACATTGCTTATTGCCACTATGTTTGCCTAGCATCTTAATAAAAAGGACGTTCAGCACATTTGACCTTGGAGTGCAGGTGACTTTTTCAATAATTCTGTGATATGCGCGGTGCCATTGGCAGGTCATACCAGCACCCACTTGTTCTATGTGATTCCGGTCTGGAGTGCGGTGGATCAATTACTACAGCCTAGTCGCATACAGAGGCTCGAAATCCAAGAAACAACCTACTTGTGCTAGCTGGTGATCAGGGCACTGGTTGCAGCTGTACCGGTACCCACATACACCATACTGGTTTTACTGGCAATCAGGACACTGGTTGTGGTTGTAATAGTACCTACTGACACCATACTGGTACCACTTACAAGCACAAAACTAGTTGCGGTTGTAATAGTACCTGATGACACCGTATTGGTACGTTGACAATCAAACACTGATTGGGGCTGGCACCGGTACTGTGTTCCACTTATACTGCTACTGCTGGCAATTAGACATTCATTGGAGCTGGTAGGCTGGCACTGTTGCAATCAGATGCTGATTTCAGTCTCATTTACATGGGTGTGCACATCCGTTTCCTGGACAGATAGGTGCATGCAGTAGCCTGTGCTTTCCTATAGGAGTACAGGGCTGCACGCAGTTATATGCAGACCCGAACCTGCACATCCATGTGAATCCAGGTGTCTGCATTTGGACGTGGGCAGTGCATCCAAGTTTGGGCACCTGGGCCCACACAGATGTGCAGGTTCAGATCTGCATAGGCGTGCATGCCATACGGATGTGCACGCCAAAGTGAATGAGCTCTTCATCTGGCAAGCTGGCACTAATGACACTTGTACAGCTGACACTTATTGGGGTTGCATGCTGGCACTGTTGGAGTCAGATGCTGATTTCTGGCTCATTCAGACAGGTGTGCACATGGGTTCAGGGCACCCAGAGGAAGTCAGACGGCACCCAGACGGCTGATCAAGGAAGTCTAATTGTTTTTCAAACTGAGGTTGGTGGTGGCGTCATGAGTTATTTTTGTATTGTAGTTATTGTATTAATAATTTTATTTACTTTACTTATGATTTCTCTGGTTTTAATTCTCTAGAACAGGACAAAAGGGTATCTTAGTGATCAACTGCTCGCTTCAAGTATTATATCAGTATTGCAGTGTTGTTGCAGAAGTAGGCAGAGCTGGAATTATTGTTCTCTCTGTTTATTTAAAAATTTGCTCAGTAAAATATCTCAATTACTTTATACCACAAAAATACCTTTGTGATTTTCTTGTTAACCACATAGTCAAGCATGGTGGTTACTGTGTGCTACGAGCAGCTAATACAGAGCATGTTGTAGCCCAGCTGGTAGCCCAAGAGTTGATCTAGACAGCTCCTATGCTCTTGTCTGCATATTAGTTGTGGAAGTTGGTGGTTTCAGCACCCAGGACTCGCCTACAGTAAGTAGAAGAGTGATGTTTGAAAACAATGCATTTGTTTTTGTTTTTGTGAGTTGTTTACTTGTCAGGGAGCATTGGTTAACCTACGTGTTCCTTGTACATCACTGTAAAATTAGCACCATGAATAAGAAAAACAGTTCAAATATCACTCACCTCCCTATTAAAGGAACAATGCTTCAAGAATGTCAAAGTTTATTATGTGTTTGGAAATACTTGCAATAGCTATTAAATACTTAAGACTTTCCCATAAGTCCATAATTGATCATAATTACTCTTAAGCCCACCCAAATATTAAAAGAGTTATAAGGATTTGAATAGTCCTGATCTTGTTGTGCACTGTGCACAGTGTTGAGCAATTTTTATAACACCTACAGCTAACCACAATTGTGCTTGACTTCATTGTTATACATTGTTATTCTTATTATTCACGATTACTATTCAGGATTTATATAGCGCCAACAGTTTGTGCAGCGCTTTAAAATATACAGAAGACATTACAGTTGCAATACAAATCAAGATAAGGTGGTAAGGAGGGCCCTGCCTGTGTGAGCTTACAATCTAAAAGGGAAGGGCAAGTGATATAAGAGCATAAATGATACAAGAAGTGGTAGCTGTGTGGGGATGAATTGTTTGAGAAAGTGATAGCTCAGTGGTTAGTTTGAGGCGGGATAGGAAGAGATGAGTCTTTAGAGATCACCTAAAGGACGACAGAGTAGGGGATAGCCGGACAGGTTGGGGGGTAGAATGTTCCAGAGGATGGGAGAGAAGCTAGAAAAGTCCTGGAGGTGAGCATGGGAGGAGTTGATGAGGGAGCTAGAGAGCAGGCGGTTTAATGAGGAGTGGAGAGGATGGTTAGGATGATACTTTGAGACAAGGTTTGAGATATAGCCAGGGGGAAGAGATATGGATTGCTTTGTAAGTGGTTGTTAATATTTTGAATTTTAATCTTTGGGTGATTGGAAGCCAGTGGAGGGATTGGCAGAGGAGGGGGTTACAGACACTAAGTGGTTGGTTTGGTGGATGAGTCTGGCAGCAGCATTCATGATAGACTGGAGGGGGAATAGCCTGTGTAGAGGTAGGCCAATGAGGAGGGAATTGCAATAGAGCTTTGTAGTTTAATTGGTTAGGAAGGGGTGAATTTTGGAGATGTTAAAACCTCCAACAAGGGGCAGGATTCCAAGTGTGCGTAGAGGTGCCACAGGTCTCTGTCAGGTATTCGGGACATGCTGCAAGGTTCCAGATATCAGTCACCAGTGGCATCTGTGTGCACGTGTGGGAATCTACGTCATGTGCACAGATGTGCTGCAGGTCTCTGCCAGGTCACATCTGCGCATACACAGGATATTTCAAATTGGTGGTGCCGAAGAGGGGCCGTGGGAGGGAAATATGCCGTGGTGAAATTTCTCTTTAAGGAGATAAAAGCATACCACTGAATTCAAAGTCGCATTCCAAAACTAATAATGACAATTAAATATAATTTAATAGGACTTTCAGCGGAATCTTGCAGAGTTTCCAACATTATAATAGAACTTGTAGACAAATGTGTCTACTGGGGCATCAAGGCTTCTTATGCCCTCAAATTTGATCATCCAGTTATGACATGGTTACCCACTTCTGTTTTCTGTCTGCAAGTGCTGCTCTTAAATAGATATTAACAAGTAATTAATAGATGATCAGGATTCCCTACTAATATGCAGGGATAGGTATTGTGGCACATTTGGCTAGTTCCATTTCAAAGGACAAATCTCCTATGACCACGCCTGGAAATAATGGACTTCTGGCATGAATGAATCTTTAAATACTTTCTTTTGTGGAACAGGGTTCACCTGTAATCCAATGATATGTAATAGTGTAAAGGATAAGGAAATGTGATCCTGTGATAACAGTTTTAGTGCATTTTTCTCATATATAAAAGAAAAAACTAACCTACCTGCCTTTGAACCCTTCCATGCAAGCAATTATTTTCTAATGCTACTTACACTGACATATACACATGCACCTTTAGAGGATCCAGTAGCAATTGCTACCTAAGCTAATGCTGGTACTATACCACTGGAAACAAGTAGCAGGCAGACCCCTTATGTTGTTTTTGCTACAAAGAGGAGTATCAAGCATGGATTCATTGTTAGTTTAAAACATAAACACCTTTACAATTTAGCGTAACATCAAAAGTTTAACTAATTACTTTTAGCATACAATAATTTGTAGTTCAGGTTTGTTGGCTCTCTAACACTTTAAGCATCATTTGCCTATGCAGCAAACTTTACTTTGCCCTCTGAATGTTTATCTGCTAAAGGTTTTCCTGGATCTCACACAGCATCTTGTCATCTTAGTATTAAACCAAGAGAGGTTCAGGAACTAGACTTATGTGCCTTTACAAACCTTTCAACAGTAGCCATGTTCTCCAGCTCATCCGGTGTCAACTTGCAGCTTGGGTCTTTAGACACTGGCTCCTTTATACATGTCAGCAGAGTCCCACCTTGTTGCACAGCTAGCTTTAAATCATCCTGAAAGATAAATATCATGTTGTTACAAAGAGGTTACTTATTTTGGTTTAAACATTGTCTTTATACTAGGCTCCATGGAAAAGTCAGTTTGGGAGACAGCACTCTTGCAATATTCATGAGGAGAAATTTAACAGAAAAACTGAGCGGAGAAATGTGTGTCTCTTCAGAGATTAACCCCTTCGTGACTGACGACGTACAGTGTACGTCGCCAGCATCGGGGCTGTTTAAACAGACTCCCGGTGACTTTTGCCGCCGGGACTCTGTTTAAACTTGTAGAGCCGACTGTCAGCTTTACAACAGAAGCGATCCTGGCGACTTACCTGTCGCCAGATCGAGTCTGCGTCCCGAAGAAGGGGCCGCCCCCCACCCCCCGCTGGACCCCCCCGCCGTGCTTCCCGGGCTCCGTTGCCCCTCCTACGGGCCCGGGACCGGCGATCTTGGTGTCCGCGGGGAGCTGGGGAGGAGGTCGACGAACTTCCGTTCATCAATCCCCTCCCCGTTCTATGGGACCGGGAGCGATGCAGATTGCATCACTTCCGGTCCCTGGGCTGTCAGTTCTGGGCTCCTGCAGCCCAGCTATAAGCTATTGAAGTGCGATCAAAATGTGAGTGTATTATTCCATTACAAGAAAATTGTTTAGACTCCATGCATAGTATTTAGGCACTTTCACTAGGCTGCATTTTCAGGCAGAGTTTAGTCAATAAATCAAAATTATGTGTTTCATAGACAAAAGTCAGAAATATTGTACTGATGCTATGCACACTATGTAGGCACTTTTGCTAGACTGTAGTTTCACAGGCAGAGACTAGGCAGATTTTAAAAAAACTTAGGGTTTACAAAGATTTGCAGGGTGAATGGCTCTGGGAGTTTCTTTTATAAATAGACCCCTTTGTGAGGAAAGTAGCAATAAAGCAAACAAAAATAGAGAGTAATATGTTACAGAAAAATTTCAGAGATAGAGACCAAGCAGGTTTTTGGTTGGTTAAACCCAGAATTGTTTTTGTTCACCATTACTTTTCATTTATGGCTTTTTGAAATAGCAAACAAGATAATAAGGGATATGATGAAGGTTATAGTGTAGAATAACACTTTTGGTAGTTAAATAGTACATTTTCATAAATATCTATATATCAAACTAAAAAGAGGGACAGCTGAAGAGAAAAGAGAGATAGAGAGATTTGGTTCCAAATGAGGGACAGTACCTCATGCAAACACTCAGTGATCTCCCTATATTTACTCCAGGTCTATCCAACACACACACAAAAATGGCTATTGGGAACCCTCCCCCGAATGGCCCTTCTAAACCACCTGACCACAGTTTAAAAGCCAGGAAATGCTTTATTGGTAATTGGTTTATGCCACATTTGTTCACCATTTTCTTGCACCGTGAACGTCTTGGGTTCAGATTGAAGACATACCAGAAAATGCGTGTTAATGTGCATGCATTCATATTGCTAAATGGCAGTGCAAGTCATCTTTAGAGATGTAGTATGAGGCTAGCAGTGCATGTGACCATGATTACAAGCTTCAAACTAAAAATTCAGAACAATCAAACCTGAGGTTTGCAGGTATGCAAAACAAAATTGGATTATTAAATAATTTTGTAAGCTTCTGTAAGGAAAAGAAACATGAGATGGTGGTTTATATATTATGTTTAACTGGCACATTGTTGTTTTAACTAGGTTTTAGTTCTTATTAACAAATCTTTGAATCACAATATTTACTACTCTAAATAGCCTACACCCGGTAGGTCTCAATGAAGGCCTAGAGCTGGCCTCATCGCTATGAGCATTACATTCATGACCAAATCCTGGAGAGCTGACATTTATAATTGTGGTGGGCTTATCACATGCCTAGTCCAGCCCAGACCAGGCAATATCTCATCATGCCGATAAGTAATTCATACATATGTATATAACCATTTCCTTATTGATGGTTCCAACTAATCTCATAAATTCTATGTACATACATGTCTCTTTTTCATACACCCCTCACACATTTTACAAATTTCAAATACACACACAGTTTTTAATACATAGATACGATTCATTCATGTGTATCATAGATAGGGGATATGTATATCCAATCTGGCCCTAATTGTATATTTTTGTATATATTTTTTTTTAAAATTTGTGTGTATTTTATCAAATATTCCTTGCTCTATAGAGCAGTTCCATCAGCTTAAATCTGTTCCGTTATGGCTTGCACAGCCTCTATTAGCTGACTATGAACTGTTTACATCTGTCATGGTATCTGTTATAAATCGCTCTTTGTAAACAGTCCACCTCCCTCTCATAGTGCTCATTGTACAGCTGACATGCTGCACAATCGATACGTTTCATGGCAGAACATGGTCCGGTTTTTTTCTGCCCCGTGGATTGGACGTCAACATTGGCCACTCCCTCCAGGCGAGCCCACGTATAGCCTTCTCGTGATTGGTCCAGCGCCACGACGGGCAGTTCCGTCAGTCACAGGACAGGGCTCCATGTCTATAGCCATGGACGACACTTTATACACATTCCTAACACCTGCGGTCTGAACCGACAGGGCTCCCGCACACTTGCGGATTGGCCAGTCACCACTATATTTAGCACATGGGACGGAGGAGGTCTGTATCTGATGAAGGGGGCGTGACCCCGGAAACGCGTCATCACACATAACACAGTCTCCTCTACTGACACATAGACACAGCTGTGCAGCTTTCACAGACTTTCCCTTGGGTCCATGGACTTATTTTTTATACTTTTTATACCTCAATCATGAATTTTGTGAGTATGTTTTATATTTACCTCTGATCCTGATCCTAATAAATTTGTCTGCACCAGGAAAGGCGCCCCTTGTTTGTGTTTTTTCCCTAGATTTTGCAGTCTCCCTGGCTGGTTTGGGGCAGCATCCTACAGACATTTTTTTATAAACGTGCTTTTATTCATTTTCTATTCATTCATCAATTTTTAACAGACTTTGATTCTGACTATACTCGTGTGTATATTGGTTTGTACTGGTTGAGCAGTCCTCTCTGGCGCTTTTTTGTGTTCTCATCTGTTCTGCAGCAATGCTGGCAGCACTCATACGTCTATTTCCCGAAGACAACCTCTGGATATGACGCTGAGCACGTGCACTCAACTTCTTTGGTCGACCATGGCGAGGCCTGTTCTGAGTGGAACCTGTCCTGTTAAACCGCTGTATGGTCTTGGCCACCATGCTGCAGCTCAGTTTCAGGGTCTTGACAATTTTTTTATAGCCTAGGCCATCTTTATGTAGCGCAACAATTCATTTTTTCAGATCCTCAGAGAGTTCTTTGCCATGATGTGCCATGTTGAACTTCCAGTGACCAGTATGAGAGAGTGAGAGCGATAACACCAAATTTAACACACCTGCTCCCCATTTACACCTGAGACCTTTAACGAGTCACATGACACCAGGGAGGGAAAATGGCTAATTGGGCCCAATTTGGACATTTTCACTTAAGGGTGTACTCGTTTTTGTTGCCAGCGGTTTAGACATTAATGGCTGTGTGTTGAGTTATTTTGAGGGGACAGCAAATGTACACTGATATACAAGCTGTACACTCACTACTTTACATTGTAGCAAAGTGTCATTTCTTCTGTGTCGTCACATGAAATGATATAATAAAATATTTACAAAAATTTGAGGGGTATACTCACTTCTGTGAGATACTGTATAATCAGCATGTGTTTCTGTTACACATATATGCAATAATTCTAATGATCAATTAAGCTGCTATTAATCTACACTATTGTAGATGCACATGATTCTGAAGAATCAGTTCACTGTCTGTAAAAATCTGCAGTATGTACTAAGATGGCCATCCTTATTTTTATAGGATAGGCTGACTTGTTAGGTAGTTGTTGGTAAATTTGGTTGAATTGACTGATCAAACAATTACAGTTGTTCTAGATGGCACATGTTACTGCATATATAGGCATTTACGTGCTGTAACTGTACCCATCTGATCCTTATGGTTTGAGCCACATATGGCCAAACATGACAGGGGTGTACTAGCCTAATTGTTGGGGCTAGCATTTGGATTTCAGAATAAACACAAACCTTTAGAAGAATACAATATTTAGGTTTTATTACATGAGTTTTTAGAAACATTTGTTTAAAAAAATAAAAGTATGACTAAGGCCCTTTTCACATGGGCGCAGTCCACGCATGGATGCCCTGCTGATCAGAGCAGAAAAGTGCAGATGTCACTCATGTGACATGCCAATTTTATGATGCATCATGATCAGGTCTGCCAAAATGCAACTCAGTTTCATTTCTTTTTTTAGATCCAGACAGAGTCGAGGAAATCGGATGTAAACGGATGCAGGTGCGTTTACATCTGGCTGCCCATAGAGTTACATTGGGCTTCAAATCAGATCTGCTTGAAAACTGGCAGGCAAACCTGATCAGACTGTCCGTGTGAAAGGGGCCTAAGATTTTGCAGACGTATGTAATATATTATACAATGAACACAGTGGGGTATATATATAGAACCTACTTTCAGCTTGGTCTGGCGATCTGTATGTGACAAAAGTAGCTCCTCTGTGCAGATGACATCATTTGGGAGTTCTGTTTCTGCCAGGCTTGTGCCAAATGTCTGCAAACTCTGAGCTGTAGTCTTCACAACTTGAGCAAAGCTCTCAATAGCCTGTTATAGGGAAAAATAGATCATAAAGTGTTTGTGTGTGTGAAAATGTGTACTTGGAAAGAACACAGATGCTGCTTTCATTTATTTCTACAGTAGACCCTTCATATAATTTAAGTGACAAGCTTTCTTCATTCACACAGTATTTTACTGTTCACAAAACTGCATTCATTTTGTGTAGGTCATTGCTTACTTCTTCACGGCTCACTGAATCCACTGCTAAAAAGGACTCTGGGGTTTATTTAAAGGTGGTGATGTAGCTAAACTCCTGGTCATCGTAAAATGGTTTACAAGGATTTATAGCACCACCTAATTATCCTGTGTATACAAATAGCTTGGAATATGGCAAGATACAATATGGCAAACACGGCAGTCTTTTCTAGTTACTAAATATTATCATTATTGTATTATGATGGCTGTGCCATTATTGCAAAGAAAGAGGATTTTTTTTCTTGAATCACAGTCTGAGATAGGTCCCTGCATCCAGGGACATAGCGCAGAAGGGTGGGGGATGCTACGGGGGCAGTTGCCCAATTTTCTGGAGAGCTGCGGGCTTTATGTGCTTAGTGCTTTATGTCTACCTGGACAGCTACGGTCATCCTGTACATTGGGGGACCAACAGACTTCTGCTTAGTAGTGGAACGTTAAGCAGACTGGCCGCTGGGTGGTGCTGACACCCCATTCCTCCATAAACAGAGTGTGTGCACCTGGGAATGTCTTCCCCCGGAAGTATATCAGTTTGGACAGCAGCAGTATGGAGGGAGACAGGAATCAGGTTGGCGCAGGTGAAGAGGCCACTCCCCACACCCCCGGGCCTCATGATCTCTTCCAGACTGTCAGTTGCCCAGCCTTCCTTTCCTCTCCTTCTAGCTCTACCATTAACTGGGAGAAGAGGCTCATTGAACCCCCTGAAGAGGTGACCCTGGAGGGGGGGAGGGGAATGGGAGGGGGATTGGGGTACTGATCAGAGAGGAGGTGGGGGATGGGAGCAGGGGGGTACTGATCAGAGAGGAGGTGGAAAATGGTAGAGGGGGGAACTGATCAGAGAGAAGGTGGGGGAGGGTGGACTTTGGTGGTACTGATGAGAGAGGAGGTGGAGGATGGGATAGATACTATAGATACTAATCAGAGGAGTGCTAATGGTCCATGGGGTAGGGGGCACAATACTTGCCTTGCACCCTGCGCTGACAACCCATGCTATGCCACTACCTGCATCATTGGCTCAGTAAAGGTTCTACCGCAGTTGCTCTATCAGTGTATAAAGTCAACAAAGCACACAATCTCTAGCAATTACATCATCGTTCATCAATAAAGCAATACAAAAGAGCAATGATGATGGGCAAAACAAGGAATCCCATAACACACATTTTGAATTCTGAATATTATTACTGATGTTTGTACAGCACTGTTGAAAAAGCCTGATGCCATACAAATTGTAGCAGTAGATAAGCTTGGACAGAGGCAATATTGCTTAAATGCACTGCTGCAGGTTTGATTAGGCAGTTAACACACATAAAAGACTACCAGACAACTTAAACAAAAGTAAAACAATAAAAAAAACTGTAGATAATATGAGCTTCCTAGGTGTGACCTTTGTGTTTCTGCACGTGTCCCACTCCTTACACTTGGCACTAGGCCCAGGGCCTTCATCTTAGGCAGCATAAAGCTCTAAAACAGTCCAAGGCAATCAGTACCCTTCTTTAGCCTCACGTGTTGGGAATATTTTAAAGGGATACTCTGTGACTAAAAAACACTAATGCCAAACACTAGCAAAGAACAGTTCTAGAAATGTGGACCACCGTTGCTCCTCTTAATGTACAGTATACAGCCAGGTAAAGCTGAAAACAGCATACATGAACTAAATCAATTGCCATAAGCTGATTTCCTCAGTGCAACTATGATGGTTTCTCATATACACAGATTGTTTTTTCATCTCATACATGCCCCATGCTTAATAAGGGATAAAGGTGCATTGGCAAGATATGTTCTTCTCTGATGTGGTTGGATGGCATGATCAGTTTGATTGCTAAATCACCCCCCATTGCGTTGCAAGTACTGCATGGTGCAAAACTAGGATATGTCTTTCAGGATAATTAGAACAAATGACTAGAATGGTAAGAAAACTGCCACCCTACACTGCTGGTAGAATACTGTATGTCTAGGTGTACAGACCACAGTAATTAAACTGTAACTACACAGTACACTGTTCCATCCTGAAGAAACTGGAAGGCAAGGTGGCTATGTGAAACCTTTTATTATAACCCAAAAAAATGTATTACTGACAGTCAGCAACATCATGTGTGCATGGCTGTGTTGTGCCACCCTTGAGGCCTGCCACCCTAGTCCCTGGCTTATGGAATCCTGAAGAGCACACTGCACCAGTAAAGGTTTGTGACTGATTGCTTGATAAATGTGGTAATAATCCATTGCTCTGTATCATCAACAAAAGTCCAAAAACTAAATTCTGCACCTGCCATGTCAATGCAATTTAGTAAACAAATATGAATAATTAATTTTCTATTGGTATTATCATTCGTCTTTTTTTTTTAACTGAATACATTGCCTTTTTTTTTTTCAAGAGTTTTTTCAAAACTCTTGAAAATTGTCAAGTGTTGAATTGTAACTACTCACTGTTCTGTGCTGGATCCATTGACTATGGCTGTATTCCAGAGTGCCTCCCAACTCATTAGTTAACTGGCTTTTGTCAATGTATCCAAGGAGATCCGAAACAGAGTTTAACATAATAATCTGTAATTGCAGACCATCAAATATCACATTGTTAGTAATTGTTACACTTAAATCCAGCACTACACATCAAATATATGGACATGTCAGGTTAACTGAAAGCACATTTCAGACAAGGGGAAATTAAAGATGACAAACTTGGGACATACAAGATACATCTTTAATGTCACGACATTACCAGTCACAACAAGAACAATACTTTAAGACAGACTGACTTAAAATAAATAATTGCATCAGATGACTAGTGAGATGTTGTATGGCATCTATAGTATGAGTTTTACAAGACTGCCTGTCACAGTACTTGGGGCATTATTTACTTTTGCAACATAATTAATGAATTAATTTCTTAAGAATATTACAAATGTTACACTCTATCTTTAAAAGCTTGTGCATGAAATAAAACATACATTAATTCATATCACAATATTAATGTTAAAACTTGCATATTCATCCTATAATGGTGCATAGAGTAAAGTGGTAGGGCATTGTTAGGGACATACAATGTAAATTGGTGCTTTTTTTCTGGGTGTGGAATACACAGCTGATATGTACATATGTAAGTTTCCCACGAATGCAGACAGTTTGTACGCTATACGCGGGTTTACGTGCATACTGTCATATACCTGTGTACATCCATTCAAGGCTATGGTAGACCATACACACTCCACAGTTTTCAGCCCCAAAAGCTTGAGTTTAAATAATAAATTCCAAACTAAGGGGTCTATTCATGAAGCTGCCGAAGGATCTGGCCGTAGCTTCGGCCGATCCTTCGGCTAGCTTCGGCCCCGGGACCCGTGCTGTACGGGCTATTCACAATAGCCCGTACAGCTCCCAAACATGGCCAAGCGGCTCAGTCGAGCCGAACGCATATGCATCGGCTCAGTTGAAATGCAGCTAACTCTCCCTGGCATCGCTTTATTCTGACATCGCTCGTGTCAGAATAAAGAAAAAAAAGACACAGCAGTGTTTCTCTCCTTGGCGGCCGGGAGCAGGAGACTCCCAGGGCGCCAGGGAGCTGTTTGGAGATCAGTGTCCCTGGTTAGCAGGTAACCAGGGACGCTGATCTCTCTGCAAGTGGCCGGAGCCAGCCGTAAGATCATGGCTGGCTCCGCCCAGCTGTCAGAAGCAGGCTGTTGGTCTATTTCAATTTTTTTGAAAAAGTCACATGACGAAACGCGTCAAAGAGGTAGAATCATTTGCACACGAGGAGTCTAACAAGCTATTCCAGAGCTGTTTTACCGGCCGGAGTTTTTATGTTTTATATGTGAATTGCTACTATTCTTTTAATAAATTTGAATGCTTTCATCTACTACACCATGAGGGCTCTTTTTTCTTAAATCCCTAAACACCGTGAGGATCTCTGAGAGAAGGTTTACTGTCAGCGCTTTCAGGAGAATATCGCTGCTGTGTACATAAGACATCTCCAGCATTGCAAAGAACAAAACCTCCTTCTTGCCGAGCTTCAACGCAGGAAGGACCAAGTTCAAAATCGGGGTAGGATCGCGAATCAAATTGTTGTTTATGCAATAAACCCGTTTACTCACTACATTCTGGTGAGTACCCATCTATAAGGGGATCGTCGGACCAAATTGAAATAGACCAACCACCACCTGCCTTGTGTTTTTTTCTCCCGTCTTTCAACTATCATCCACTGAACACTGCTTTCACTTACCTGATTTCTTCACTACAAGATTGTCACTTGTAGATTAGCCCAAGATTGATTTAGACTGTTGATTATCATCTGAGTGGCTGTCACGATCTTTGTTACACATTACCTTTTGACGTTTTAATGTAACAATTATAGACTGTCGATTGTTGCTTGTCTTTTAGTGGCCATCACGATCTTTGCTATACTCTACCGATTGATGATTTATTCTAACATTTTACCATTAACTTGTCCCTTATTCGTTATTATCCTAGTTTGTTACTATTTTTTGGATATTTTGTTTGCTCACTATTTAATTTACGATATTTATCGGTTTTTATTACACCAACCTATGATCAATTTAACTTCATTGAGGCTGTGCTATACACGCAGCTTTCTCACTTCACTAACCCCTAATCTAAGGAGGTACAACAGTGACAACCAAGTAACCAACCAAGCAAAGCAATCCCTTCTCTTCAGTGTGCCCAAGCACTTTCACAATATCAACATGTTCCTGGTTTATAATATAACAATGGGAAAATGTTGGCACTCTAGACTCTAGACACTCGTCTAGAGTGTCTAACTAACAGGCAACATAGTGATTAATGCATTTTGTGCATAAAACTCTGGCATAAGAATACCACTGCTATGGCACACAGATTAGATGCTTTAGATCAGGGGTAGTGAATTAAAATAGAAGGGGGTCCAGTCAGGGCTGGATGTACTCTCCCTGCCGCCCCAAGGCCAGGTCCTGTGATGCGCCCCCCCCCGAACCCTCCCTCCCTTCCCATCAATGGAGAATGTCTTATAACCCTGCCGCTCTGATCACTGCAGTCAGAGACTCGGGAATCGGCGGCGGAGGACGCAACCAAAGGAGAGAGGTAAGTGCAGGGGGAAGGGTGAGAAGGCTGCACACTGTTTACATGTAAATTTTGGCGACATCGCCGATTTCACTTGTAAACGAAAAATCGTCTGCCTCACTCTACATTCAGCCCTGCTTATACAAAGCAGGACTGAATGTAGAGAGGGCAACTTCCCCACAAGGACACCGCTGCCGCCCCGAGGCCGGGCCTCGGTGGCTTTGTGGGGAATCCGGGCCTGGGTCCAGTGAATAAAATTTTCATCAAGCCTTTTCATTTTTTACTTTATTATTTTTTACTTTTCTATCACTTTTTTTTTAATTTTCTCAGTTAACTTTTGCTATCACAAAGGGGCTAACAAGTCCCTATGTGACATCATTTGTGACAGGTTTTCTTAATGGAGACATCAGGGGTCTATTAGACCTCTGATGTCTTTCCCTGCCCTCCAATACAGATCATCAAGCACAGGAATGTACTTGATGATCTGTATACCTGTAACTTCAGCTGGCTTCTGACAGTTGAAGCATGAAGTTCTGAGAGCTGCGAGAGATCACAGAGCAGATCAGGAAACAGACATTCTTGACACCGTGTGCTGTAGTCCCGGGCTCCCCAAGGGACTCGTTTTCAGCACGATAGTGAACTAGTACAGTGATCTTGGTGGCTGTACAGCCGCCCAGATCACTTGTAGTTGCGTAGATGGCCCTGCTGGCCTGACGTCATTGGTTGTTAAGTAGCAACCAGACTGAGGAGGGAGGGCCTGCACTGGGTTATGGCTGGAAGTGGACACACCAGCCTTGGATGCCAGTCTTTCCATTGTCAGCTATCCATAACCCAGTACAGGTCGGCGACTGCAGTCTGGACAGAACCGCCACTCAGTCCGTGTCTGGACTGTGGTCCACCATTTAATGACCGCTGCATTAGATGCTTACATAAGTATTTAACCAAACACATGTTTTGGCTCCCCCAATGGTATCCTCTTTTTTGTAATTGTCAAGATAGATATTTCTGTAGCTTAGAACCTTTTTTTTTTTTAAATCAAGGTGTAATAAGCTGGAGTTATGCAAGGTTACTGTCAGTTTTTGTCCTGAGGGAAGTTTGAGCTGTTCGGTCCAGCTCAAAGTAAACATTGAATCAAATTGTGGTATCACACTACCACACAGGGCACAGGCCTGCACCAAGTGTCCCCATGCTTTTATATAAAGCCTTTAAAACAGCCAAAGAGAAAAAGGACATGCTACTTAGAACTTTATGTAAATATTTGCCTATACAGTATACACACTACTAGAGCTGCTGACATAAAGTGCAGCTGAAGCCAAAGATATTTTTGGGAGTGGAGAGTCAGGTTTCTATTGCTGTCTGTGTCCCCATTAGGGAGATTCACCCTCTCTATTTGTCCTGGTGACCGTTATCACTAAACGTGAAAGAAAATTCAAAATTCTGGATTGTCTTCTAATCTACTAATGGGGACACTAGTTCTGGTGACCCTACTAACCATCACTGTCCTTTTTTTTGGAGGCATCTATTCTCACTTCCTATTGTGGCTATTAGACAGGAAGTGAAGGGAAATCTTTCTAATCTTTCCAGATAGCAAAAAAAAGCAAGCAGAAGTTATACCTCTCCCTTACTCAACCCAAAATAAAAATACATTTTTTTTGCTTTCAATTCTACTTTAAATATCTAAAGTTAAATAGTAAAAGGGAAAGTCCCTCTTCCAGAATTAGTTGAACATATGAGGACACATAACACAGATGAGCGCATGCAGGAAGTTGAACACAAGATGAAAATACACGCTTACCGGTACCTTCATTCTAAAGTCATCTCTGTAGAATTTAATGCCAATATCAGCAATGGTCCTTTGAATAAACCGAGATGGCCGCAAAACAAACACCAGCTGCAGATTCCCAGGAAAAGCCCCCTAGAGAAAATACAAATGTATAAATAAATAGTAAATGTCAGCAGTTTTATTGATGGCTTCTTCTTCAGATACCATTTTTTTTTAATTAGCTGCTACATAGTTCTGGGAAACACAATATGGCTCCAATCAATTTACTTTAGGAGGAGTTTCTTTAATATAAAGTACTTAATAAACACCATAAACACCATACTGTCACTGAAGACAATTCTTCAACAATGTTCATGTGACAGAGCAAGAAGTTCAGATGACAAGGCAAAAAGAGAGTATGCTAGTGGCTGGGACAGCAACACACAGAGATCCACACATCCCTTTTTGTTTTTTCATTGGGTTTTAGTAAAAGAGTAAAAGCTGAACTCTAGGCAAACACAAAATACACAGCTCAAATACATTAAAGGAGAACTATGAGGTGAGTGATTTTCACTCACCTCATAGTTCTAGCCGACCTGTGACAATGAGACTGTCACAGGTCGGCTCAGTAGATCGGGAGGTGAGCGAACACATCGCTCACTAATCGATCCTGTCATGGCCCTCTGCCATGACAGGGGAGGGGCTGGATTCCCCCCTCTCCGCTCCGATCTGCCAGCGCTGACTGGCGGAACGGACCTTTAGATAGGCAGAGCCAGCTGTCAGTCACGCAGCTGGGCGGATCCCGGCACAATTGTCGGGATCCGCTTCAGCTGCGGCGTCTCAGTATACCGCGAGCAGCTGCTCGCGGTATACTGCGGCGTCTCAGTATGCTCAGTATACTGAGCCTAGGGTGACGTGAGGACGCTAGTTTGTGTCCTCCCGTTACCCTAAGGAGAACTATGGAGAAAAGACTTAACCCCATAGTTCTCCTTTAATGGGAGTTTGTTTTACTTGCCAAAGGATTTGTATTTCTGTCTTTCCAGTTCTGAGATTTACACAGTTCTGCCAGACAGCATAGCCAGGATGGTAATCTGACTTTTCTCTACTGCTGCTAAACAAAAACAACTTGGTTACCCCCCAGCCCCTAGCCTGTGATTAGATAGTGAAGGAGCAGCAGCAGACTGGTGAATGATTCCCTCCTCTCACTCTGCTCTCTTTATTCTTTCATCCTGTAATTTTTTTTTTGTCAACACATGTGTATGCAGTAGAGCCTGAAGGAGAACTATGCGGTGAGTGAATTACACTCATCCCCATAGGTAGAGCCGACGTGTGATATTGAAACTGTCACACATCGACTCTATTGATCGGGAAGTGAAAGAAAACATATCGCTGCTCGCTTACTTCCCGATCATCTCCCTACAGAGATCAGTGACTGTCAGTCACCGCTCCCCACAGGGATTCTCCCCCTCCCCTCTCCGATCCTCCAGCGCTGACTGGAGGCAGAGACAGGGGAGGGGGCGGACATTGCTGGCTCTGCCTCTAGATAGGCAGAGCCCACTGTCAATAATCCAGCAGGGTGGATCTCGAAAGTATTGTGGGGATCCATCCCGGCTGTGGCGCTCTCAGCATATAGCGGGCAACAGCCCGCTATATACTGAGTTTTGGGTCACGGGAGGACTTTAGTAATTGTCCTTCCGTGATCCTAAAGAGAACTATGAGATAAAAAGGTTACCTCATAGTTCTCTTTTAATTGTCTTAGTGTGCTACCCCCTCCCTCTACAAGACTGTGTAACTGTGCAGGAGATCCACGCCTCAATTTCAGGTACTTACATTACTTACATCTAAAAATACATTTACTTTGCACTAATTAGTGTTTTTTACATCAGCCTGAAGTCCAGCTATTAACCTCTTTTAATGGAGGTGGTGGAATTTCTCCAAAAAAGGTACCTGAACTGCAACAGATTTCATTATAGATCTTAAACACTTTAGGTGTGTGGCAGAAACAACTATATACAGTATACTAACAGAAGCATGCATTTATGGTGGGCAATATCTACCATGGAGGCCAGTCAATAATGTGCAGCCAATATTCACATATCCAGACTAGTTTCTAAGGAGTACAGGTGTTAGCACAAAAACTTGGGGAGAGGTGTCTCTGTGTCTGTGAGGGACTTGAGAACAACTGCAGAAATAGCCCCGTATGTATTGCCTGACTCGGGGTGAAGATGAGTCCCCTGTTTCCGTGTGAAGCTAATAGTCATGTGTTCTAAGAAAGGTTTCTGACCCCTTACAGCTGTGGTGTACAATGGAGTGTCCCATTAACATACAGGTATAATGAGGTGGGTAAAAAGGAATCAAAACCTTTTGCTCAGCCAGTGTGAAGGACAGTAGACCTTTCCTTAACCAGAAGGTGCGCATGTTTTACTTCATCATTACTTCACATGCATCATAAATCCCAAAATTAAGCAATTTCCCACATTTTAAGATTCTGGGCTGAGCCATGCAAATCATTCCTTTATGCCTCTGGGACAACTGTACATCCAGAAGTCCTGGTTTTCAGTACAGATGCAACTCAATATTAAAACATGCTTTATTTCAAACTGCATACAGCTCTTTCAGCCTTATTGAGCTGAATCATCAGTGAGTACATGGAAAGAAAGGCTTCTATCTGGTAGGTCTCAGATTATATAATTTAGGCACATAATTTTGCATATGTTGATGCTTTAATGGGTAATATGAATTGTAGTGCAGGGAAACATAAGGGTAGTCAGAGGTCTGGGTACAGACCTATACTTGTGATGTGCAGAGTGTGACACAGAATATACTATTTGCACTCCACAAAACATTTTCTTTAGTGAGCCCACAAAACATAAAGAGTATCTAGTAAAGGTATATTTGTTATTAGTTTTACAATTAGCCTTGATTCACACCTAAGCGACACCTATTCAGCGCATTTTACTCATGTCTTTTTTTAGCGGTTTTTGCGCATGTTTTACGCGTTTATGTTAAGTCGCACGTTTATGTGAGCAGACTTTGGCACATTCATCTCAATGTGCGTGCAAATAATTGCAACACGTGTTTTTCATGTGTTTTCTTTTGAATCTATGGGACAAAACGCTCTGAAATCAGCCCCAAAGTAGCTCATGTAGTATTTTGTGCGACAGGCTTATTTCTGCTTGCGCCAAAACGCTGACATGTGCACTAGGGTCACAGAAATGTATGGGGTTCCTAGTACTGAGCTGTTTGTTGCACTGATTTACCAGCGACAAACAGCTTAGGTGTAAAAGGGGCCTAAGAGATCATTTTGATTAATGCACAGTATGCAACAATTCATACAGCAAAATAGAGCACTTGCTGTATTGTATAAATCACATATTCAGTATACCTCATATACCAAACACATAAAAGTCGACAAAACCCTGTAAAATGTGGTTTGCCATAAATCAGTAGTATATACAACAACTATTTACAGGTATTTGCCAATAACTTACAATAAAAAAATAAAATAAAGTTCAGTACGGTTGCTCTCTTTCTCCTGCTCAGGGCATGCAAATGTTTTAAAACTGCCCTGCCACGGAACTGCAAAATATAATTTTCATCAATAAAAATAAATACATTTATAAATTATTTATTAAATAAACCATTAGGGTTCAGCTTATTACTGTCTCTACCTAAAACTAGTATTTAACTTTATCATGGTTTCTGACAAACTGACTAAATATAAGAATATACACAGAACTGGGAATTGTGCTGTGATAGAATGTCACGTTTCCCTCTATACTGTAGATCAGTGATGCAAGCTATTCATTTCTGGAATCTCTAAGAAAAAGAAGTCAGTGGCTAATTCAGCTTATCGGTGACCACTCAGAATTTAAATATTGTTTTGGGAGGTGCTGACCTTTACTATGATGGTTTTATTTTTTTATGGTATTAGGATAACTGTACTTACAGCAATACGAGTCAAAGAAGCCTTCACGGAGCTCCATTTATCCTTCCGTCTGTCTATAATGACAATAAACCCAATGCTGGCAGCTTCAAGGCTGTATGGCAAACGTATATCACATATTTAGAAATATAAGAGAAAGTCATTACAAAATACTTTACAGAAACAATAGGCACATACATAGATTGACAGCCTGTAATGCAACAATGTAAAAACAGAAGCAAGCCCCAGGTGAGACAAAAACCTGACCTTGTGTAAACTGCATCCTGCTCTGTGCAAACTGTATTATTTTTATTGAACTGCTTCTTTTTACTCATATCTTGTTCCATAGCTGAATGAAGATAAGGTAAACATGACACATCACAATATGGGGTATTTATAGAGAGTTTCTGGCCTCATACAGCATACATGATATACTGTAAGTATTACAATACAAATAATAAATGATTGATAATTGTTCCATGTTAAATAATAAAGCCATATGAGCAGTGATTTGGTATCAGTTCAGTATCCTCTAACAATATCAGAGGATTACCTATAATTATCACTGGTTGCTATTGCAGTTTACTTAAAAGACAAAAAAAAAGGAAAAAAGGGAAAACAAATAACAAGAAAAAATTAAGAAGAAAAGAAGAAGAAAAGAAGATTCTTGATCAAGTTTTGCAGGACCACACCAATGATGTAGCATCTGGCTAGTGGAACCACAGCAGGTAGCGACATTTGACACAACCAAAAGTATCAGATGCTTAAAGTCCGATTGAACCCTCTTAATGTATTACTGTAATGCAGTCAGGCTGTATATACAGCAATAAATATGCCTCTTTTTACATCTTTAATCAGCACAGTGCTCCAGTAAGGGTTAAAAATAACCTGGGCTGTGAGCACATAGGAGCATCGGAATGCTGCTCCCACACACAAGCTCTCACGCAGTATGACACATCCCACTGAACACTAGTCTAATCAACTTTGCTGAATAGAGCTGTTGATTAGAGCAGTGTTCAGGTGGTGATGCTGAAAATCTGGGCCCTGCTTGTGTGTGAGAGCAGGGGTCTGACTGTCCTAGTACTGCTAGCAGGGTTTTTTTTTATCCTTTGTTGCAGCACCTAGCTGATTAAAAAAAAGGAAAAAAGAGCCATATTATTAATTGTATGTATAGCCTGACTGCAATGTATTAATATATTAAGAGCAATGCACAAACCTGCACCACTCTCTATCTTTGTTGGTATGATGGCCAGCAAAGCACATGTGGAGTAAACGCTGCAGTCCCCGCCTAGGCACCACCCCACTAATGTGTTTCACTCATATGGGCTTAATTATATGTACTATATAATTGAGCCCACATAGGTTAAATTAGTTAGAGGGATGAATAAAGCTACTTTTAGATTTTATAAGCCAGTGTGGTTCTGCAACAGATTGAAAACTGGAGTGATGTACAGCAAAAGAGTCACTTTAACTCTTAATTAATTCTAGTAAGCCCTGATTAACTTCTTCAAACCATTAGATAATTCTTTTTTAAATGTATATTTTTCTTTTAACATTGTAAAATTTGTATTTGTTTTGTTTGGTCATTTCTATGGCACCATATTAACTGGCCAGACCAGGTAGATCGAACAACAGAATGGTTAAAGTCATCCCTCTGCTCCTCTCCTCCTCAAAGCATGTTCCTTGTTAGCACATGTGGATGCAGGAAACCTGATTGGTTCCTAGTGCTGCCCCTATCTGTTCCAGTCTGTGTGTCCCTTTAAAAGGGATTACTAGGGCTGAAACCAGCTTGAACTAATATATTTACACTAGTTACATTTAACAATACATGTAATTATTTTTATAAATGCATAACTTGCATTCATTGGTGCTTTTATATCTGCTTAAAGTGTATTTTCACTTTCGCAGCAGAATTGGAATAACACCTGTTATATATTTGTTACATGTTCCCATTCATATAGCATAAGCTAAAAAAAAATATTTAAAAAATGCTTCTTGCAGTTCAAATTGCTTTTACTTGGGTTAGAGTTTCTTGACTTCTTAAGGTTTAACATTTCTACTTGTTTCTTTTTTTCTATTGCAATGTTAGGAGGAGTTGTGAGGGGTGAGGGTCTTCTGTATGTTAATGGAGTTAATAAGAGAAACACAATCCTCAAATTTCAGTCCTAAGAATTTCCATTAGGACAAATCACAGTGAAAGTGCTCAGAAAAACCTGGACTTCTGCCTCCGGCAACAAAACATCTAAAAAGGTAAGATTTTTTAAAAATTATTATTAATTTTCGTTATGCTGTGTGAATAGATACACATAACAAACATTTGTTATTCAAATTTGAAATGTGGAAATACACTTTAAAGTTCGGTTCAGCTTTAAATAATTTTTGCAAGACAATATGGCAGAAATAAACTGTAACGGCTAGGTCAGCATATATGAATCTCAGCTGCGGAGTGTGCCTAGCTCAGGTGTAATTGTTTAGGGGTACGGCTTCAGAGTCGAGCTCCAGGCGGCACTCTCAAACTTTAACGGAGAGTTAGGAGCTCTACCATCATATGCCGCAATTACTTTGTTTAAGTGGTGATGCACACGAGTAGCCCCAGGGTATTACAGCATACCTGGGTTACAACTATTATGTGTGGTTCAAGCAGGTTCAAATAATACGACTTTAGTAAGGAGTATCAACAAAAAGAAATATCAGCACTTCCCCTTTAAATGGTGTGGATCAGATAGTAATGAGGAAGTCCATAGCTATTGCATGAGATCAGATCAATCACTTCAGAGAGCTCTAGCTGGGACAGGCTGTCACAGACTAGGCGATACTTGCAGTTTGATGTCCAGCACAAAAAGGGTTCTTTCCAACAACAGGTCCAATGGTCCAGGGAAGGGGACCTCTGGTTGTCAGCTGGTGTTCACTGGCAATAGTGGAACGCCATACTGATCTCTCTGTCAGCCTTTTATAGGGAAGGGGTGTGGGAGGAGCTGCCGACGTCATAGGGACCGCTGCGTTCCACGCTGGAACGCATCGGCTCATCTACTTCCGTCCCGCGGCTTGCGTTCCACGGTGGAGCGCAGCCGCGATCGTTACATAAACAATGTTTTGTCCTACAAAATGATAAATGTATTACTTCAGTATCATAAGTAATGACAAATGTATTGCTGAATCAGTAGGCCCATAGCTGAAATGAAAAGATTTTTCTGGGCCATAGAGGATATACACTGAGTGGCCAGATTATTATGATCACCCCATCAGTACTTCGTTGGGCCACCTTTTGCCTTCAATACTGAGGCGATTCTTCTTGGCATTGACTCAACCAGATGTTGAAAGGTGATGCGAGGAATCTGACACCATGCCTGATGAATAGCACTGTCCAGTTCTGTGAGATTTGATGGTTGTGGAACCAGCTGCCTGATGGCTCTTTCAGCTTCGTCCCACAAATGCTCAATTGGATTGAGATCTGGTGATTGTGGTGGCCACCTAAGCAAGGTAAATTCTCCCTCATGTTCTTGAAACCACTCCTGCACAATACGAGCACCGTGGCATGGCGCATTGTCTTGTTGGAAGAAGCCATATCCATTGGGATACGCCATCAACATGAGAGGATGAACTTTGGTATATTGTGCTATTCAGACGTTGTTCCACACGAATTAAAGGGCCCAAATCATGCCAGGAAAACATGCCCCAAACCATAACACTGCCCCCACAAGCTTGAAGAGTTGTACTCATGCATGTGGGGTGCATGCTTTCATGCTGTTTCCGCCAAATTCTCACTCTGCCATCTGCATGATGCAACTGGAAACGGGATTCATCAGACCACATGACTTTTTTCCAATGCTCGACTGTCCAATCCTTGTGTTCCTGTGCGAATTGGAGACGTTTTATCTTGTTAACTGCAGACAGCAAAGGTGTTCGAACAGGCCTTCAGCTTCCATATCCCGTACGATGCAGTGTACGGCGAACAGTGCGTTCAGAGATCATTTGAGAGGATCCCTGATTAAGATCTGCAGTCATTTGATGCACTGTTGCCCTTATGTTGTCTTGTACCAGTCTTGCCACTCTTCGTTCCGCCCTAATATTGACTAGTCACTGACGGCCACAATTCGCACGTTCAGACCCAGATTTTCGGCTGACAGTCCAGTCTTTAAACACTTTAACAACAGCTGCTCTTCAACATTTAACGAATTCTGCTGTTTTGCTGATACTCGCTCCATGGCTCCGAGCGCCAACAATCATCCCACGTTCAAAGGCTGTTAAATCGCGTTGTTTACCCATATCTTCAGAAAAAAAATCACTTCTACTGTCGTGGTAAACAACCTGCTTCCCTATTTATAATGGTCTGGCCCTCTAGCAACTTCAGCGCGAAATTATAGCTAATTTGCCTACAAACATCAAGTGGTCATAATAATATGGCCACTCAATGAACAGGTGCATGGGCTGAACTTTGGGGGGGGTTAGGGGGGCTGAATTACAGACAACAAAGGCTCTGACTTATGCAGGAGCAAGTAGTGGTCAGACAAGATTTTCCAACCTGTATGATCACTATTGATCCTGACATTGGGAAGCATGGGTACTTTGGCATCTTCATCTTGGTATAAGACTTTGTCCTACAACTACTTGCAAATATACCTTTTAATTTCAACTAACAGCAAATGCTAAACTTTGTTACATGATCAACACTGCCTGCGATATAAAGATATCCATGTGGATGTTAACATGTGACTATCTAGTGTGATCATTATAATGGCATCTACCAGCTAATGTTTTGGCTAATGAATTTGGATGAAGGAAAGGGCAGTCACTTTCATGTGATCATAATGAGCTGGTTTACTAAAAATAGGAGGATTCATAACAGGAATTTTACAATTACAAAAGGAAGGAGATCTACAACAGGTTACAATTATTATTATTTATAATATATACCATTACAATACAAAGCCTACATGGATAAGATGTATTGTCTTATGAAATCTTCAGCCAAGAAAAATCTGGGAAGACGATTGTTGCTTAATTTAAGTTTCTGTATATGTCATATTGTATTAGGGAATGGAATACTTTATAGCTGTAAATCCAGTTTTTGCAGGGTGGAATACAGGCATTTGGATCTCTAGCAACTCCCATCTTTATTTCTTTATTGTGTTGTCTCTGTACAGTGTGACACCCTTGAAGCTAGGCAAATCTTCATAATCTCCATAATTATCTCTGGCTTGCAGGCTTGCAACACAGCAGAAGAGGACAATACAAGAACATACATGTGATCTCTATTAATTTGTTGTGGCTGTTGATAGTTTTAGAGCTTGAAATTTATGCGGTCACTTACCTGGGAATGCTTGTTAAGTAGGTAATAACATTTAGAAAATCATCATCAGGAATTTCTGTGAAGTTGGGATATTCAGGAAATGTTATAATGGGTGCTCCATCCTTTCCTCTACCCCCTAAAACCAAACAAATAATTTGGTAAACACTTCATCATTTCGAATCACAACTACATTTTATGTGTAAGGCATTGACTTAAAATCCATTTCCACCTTTGCACAGATATTGTTTAAAAAAAACAAAAAAAAACATGCCAGCAATGTACGTACGCCAAGTGTACATGCAGCAGGCATATTCAGTTGCTGTACTGTATAGAAACACAGAAAATTACTTTTTTGTTAGCTGTCCTCTTCATGTCCTCAAGGCTCTTTTTGGAAATGGCCTCCTCTGTGCTCTGCAGGCAGTCTGTGTAAACTAGAGGCTGCTGTGCACAGTGGGAAATACAATGTAGGGTGTGGAAAACTACATTTCCCACAATGCTATGTTTCCCGCGTGCACAAGCCTCTCTGTGGAAACTGCGCTCTCTCTCTGAGCTCTCTCTTCCCCTATTCATTAACATTCATAGTGGCAACAACCCCTGAACAGTGCTGAGTGACCTGGACAGTGCACAGCTGGTGTGCAGTGATCTTTTTACAATGACTCACAGGGAGGGGGTCAGCTGCTGTGCAACCTGTACAAGACACTCTAACCCCAGTGTCAGATTGGGTTTCCTGTGGAAGAAATGTAAAAGTTGTAGGACTCATGCCTACTAAAAAGTCCATAAAAAAGTAAAAAGCTAGCAATTTGAGTCATGAAAATGTACACACATATACATCATCACTGTACCTCTATATTACCACAATAAATGCTTATCACTTAAAAAGGTGTAAATAGAACTGTTCGTTTGGAGAACCTTTTGAGCAGTGGTGACACTGGTATTTTTAGATAGCCCCGTACTGGGCTGTTTTAATATATCTGCATGGGTCTGTTCTGACAAGGCAGAATTCTGCCCCTTATAGCACATCTCGTTTTGATACACCTATGTGGCCATCTAGATTATCTCAGGTTACCACTGCCGGATCACAGCTGTTGTTTACTTTTTTTTATTGTCTCCTAATATCTTGTTTCTTACATTGTATTCTGAAACGAATTGTTTGAATCCTGGGAAATATGCTAATAGAAAACTGATTCAACTCTAAAAAGGTGGAAATAGGCTTTAAGCTAGGTATAAACACCAGAAGTAGGTCAGACATGCACACACACTCGACCAGTGAATGTTTATATCACCATAGAGAGTGTAGTAGCAGTGAATGGCCAGACAAATGCAGCATTGGAAGGATTGAAACAGCGATAAAGCCTACACAATCACACTTGGATGTCCACTTGTTTTTCCAAGACTGAATGGCTGGATGTGTGCCTGTAGATACAATGATTGTTGCACAATCTATGTGCAGTTGAATGGAATGGGCAACAATCAATGGTATTAAATGGGAAACACAATAAACATATAAATGGAGAAAAATAAATAAAACCTTGCCATCTGTAAATGTGAATAGTTGAGCCTGATAGCTTGTGTATAGAATGCAGTGCTATATATGCACTTGGGTTTGAGAAACATAATAACTGGATAGGTGACCAGAAAATATGTATTTAATCTAGGGATGCACCAATATATCGTCCGAAAATTGCACTTTTGGCAAAATGCTGAAGTGCAATTTTTCGGCCGATATAGCGGTGCATCCATTCTTTATCTCCTCCCCGCTGGGCGCTGCTCTGTGTCCCAGCGGGGAGGAGAGAAACTGTCACAGGCTGCCGAGCGCTGCCGGAGGAGAGTGCTGTGAGCGACCGGCGTCTCTCCTCCCTGCACCACTCAGCCTCCTGTTACAGATCAGAGTATAGTGGTGTGTGAGGGCGGAGACAGCCAGCGCTGTCACTGGAGGCCGGCCGGCGGTGTGGGGGAGGAGTCAGCTGTCAGATCGATTTCTCCTCCCCGCACCGCTCGCCGTCAGGAAGGAGAGTGGGTACAAACACTCAGCGATCAGTGATCGCTGAGTGTTTGTAGATAATTGAGGACAGAGTATGGTTACTATATCCTCAATTATGAATGGATGGGAAGTAATCTACATCACCTCCTGTTCATTCATGATTGTGGCTATAGTAAACATACTCTGTCCTCATGTTATGAATGAACAGGAACACTCAGTATAGAGGATTCCTCTTCATTTATAACAGGGGCTGCAGAAAAAGAGATTGAGGACTCTGTGTTCTTAATCTCTTTTTCTATTTTAAGAAGGAAATATCAGGGGTCTCTATAGACCCCGGATATTTACCCGAAGCATCTATAACTAAAGTAAAAAATATTTCAAAAAATAAATAAATTAAATGTAAAAAAATTAAAAGTTTATAAAAAATTATTATAAATAAAATATGTAAAAAAATTTGAAAAAGTTAGAAAAAAAACATTTTCGGTTTCGGCCCAACATTTTTTTTCATTTCAGTTTCGTTTTTTAACATTTTCATTTCGGTGCACCTCTAATTTAATCGTTTTCATGCAGGTATTTAATAAGCCGAAATAGAATATATATTTTCCTCACATGTTCTGAATTCCGACAATGTACATACAATGTAATGAAGAAAATTATTCTCACATACTGCTAGGTGATATAACTTTTTCCAACACATTGTCTGTATGGTCTATTTACTTGAACTCTGTATTTAACAATTACACGTTGCATATCTATTTTTTTTAAAACTGTTTTTGTTTTATTTTTGTTTTTTTAAAATTAGTTATTAAACTGAGTTTAAAATTAATTTTTTTTTAATTAGTAGTTATTTTATTTTTTCAATTTTTCCTACATAGATTATATATGTATTATTCTTTTTTTAAATATATATATTGTTTTCTTTTACATGCATTACTTTTATGACCGAATGACTTTTTTTTTTATTTTAACTGTTCAATAAATTGCCACATTTCTGCTAGTAAAGCTCAACACAAAAAGTAATGTGTAACTTATTATGGTCATAACTGGTATCTAGTGATGGAACTGTGCTGCCACCTAGTGTATACACATAAATAAATGAAGTAATTCAGCCACCATGTTTACTGCTTCTACAACCTTGTATCTGGCTGAAATAGTTATTTTATCATGAGTTACCAAGACAGCTATGAAAAGTACAATTAGAGAGAATTTTCTGAATTTATTAAATTGGAATATTGTAAAAAGACCAGAAGCGCCAGAAGTTCCAGAAGCACGGTAAGGGCAATTTAGGATAATTAGGATAATTCTGTATTTTGCTCTTATTCTTCCTGAAGGCAATGTGAATGCATCTTAAAAACCTTTGTACTCTAGTCCTTAGGTTACCAGGCACTGCCCAAAGCACCAGGGCCCTTACTGGCCAAGAGAGCTGTACCTACCTCTTCCAGCTACTGCACAGGGGATTACAGGAAGCTAATATTGCAACATTGAAACATATAAAAGTGACAGCAGAAAAAGATCAAGTGGTCCAGCAAGTCTGACCGTTGTATAAATTTATGTTTTCCCCAAGCATATTTAATTTCACATACTGTTGACTGACCCACTACCTCTGCTGGAAGTCTGTTGCAAGAGTCAACTATTCTTTCTGTAAAATAACTTTCTGAGGCTAGTTCTGAACCTCCTCCTTCATGTCCTCGTGTTCTTGATCTCAATTTATATTGAAAATACTGCTCTCCTGAACCTTATTTATACCATTAATGTACTTGAAGGTTTCAGTCATGTCCCCCTATACCCCTCTTTCCTCAAAACTGTACAAATTAAAGTGACACTAAACTCAGGAGTCACATCTTAAAAATGCATTCACGTACCCCAAATATTAACAAAATCTAGCTTATTTCTGTATCATTTGGCTGTAGATCCTGAAATTATCTCTGAATTGGTGCTGACACTGTCCTTCCTTCTGGAGGGTGACTACTTTTGTTCCCCATGGTCCCTGTGTGTGTTGTAACACAGCCACCTCCCCAAACTCAATCCCATGATAGACTACAATCTCAATACAATTTACTAAACTAACTTTGTGAGATTGTAGTCTATCATGGGAGGGAGCTTGGAGTGGTGTCTATTTTACAACACACACAGGAACCATGGGGAGCAGATTTTGTTTATACACTCATACATTTATATGTATCCTCAAGCGAGTTCTTTTGTGCACTGTTTCACACCCTGCACAGTTGACAGGGAGATTGCGGTTTGGTGAGATTGAGTTAAAACATCTGACTTCATTTGGTATTGTTGGCAAGGAGATTATAATATGTATGATGGGTTTAGTAGTTTCTTTGTGCTCTACTCTACCCATATACACCGGCCAGTTTAGAGTTAACCAATCCATCAGTGAGCATTGCTTCCTGCAGTTATCTGCAGATTTTCTATGGTCAGATGGAAAAAGGGCAACAGATTCCTCCATCTACGCTAAACTGTGTGGATGGAGTAATCTCCCACTGGGCCAAGCTTCAGTATCTTGGTAGTCGGCCACGGCTGGCTCTCAAAATACATGAACAATGCCAGCATCCAATCAGATTGTTCAGGTATTTTAACAGCCAGTGAGGACGACTAGCAAGATACTGAAGCTTGGCCCGGTGGGAGATTTCTCCATCTACACAGTTTAGCATAGATGGAGGAATCTGTTGCCCTTTTTCCATCTGACCATAGAAAATCTGCAGATAATATATAGGTGTATGGCCAGCTTAAGTGAGATACTGTATTTGTTACCTCTATGAATAAGCCTAGGTGTGAAACATGCGAGAGGGTGTAGCTGGTTGGGGGCTTGCGAGGTTGGTATTTGCTGTTTTATACACCTTTATGCACTGTTATAGTGGATTTGCTGTGAATATCAATAAAGTCTGAAGAATTGGAATTCTCTGGATAGCGCGGTCTGTTCATATACTACTACATTCCAAGGTGGAGACGTACCTATTAGACCAGCACCTGGGGAGTCCTGATGGCGGCTAAGGAATTGGAGCGGTGAGATTTCCTTTGGCTCTACATTTTTTATTAAGTTTTAAGTGAGCCAGTTCATTTGCTAACTATCTAGAACTCTGTCTCTAGAAACCCTGAAAATGAACACAAGTGAGTGGGCTGCCCCTTATTGCAACACGTGTTAA